TTTTGTCAATTATTTGTAATTTTGTCACCTCCAGAATGGATTACACCATCATTTAGGGCAAGCACAGAGGGTCCTTTGGCACCACCAGTCTGTGACTGCAGAGGAGTTTACACCAATGTGCCCACACCACACTCAGACTCCACCCACTGCTTTGGATACCCCTCCATTTCTTGGGACAGGAAATTCATACTTTTAGTGATATACTAGGAAGTCTTTGATAATTTAAAACTCCATTTAAATATGGTGCCTCCTTCAAATTTGAGTTGCTGCTGTTGGGAGCTTGGTTTTTCCAAACCCAACAGCTGAGTATTTTTGGTCTGTACATCAAATTCTGCACTTGGCACATTCTGGGCACTGTAAGTCAAACCAGCTGTTTTCAATGTTACTGAATTTCCATATTTCCATTTGTTTGATTCTTTGCCCCTTTGTTGCTGGATTGGCAGGGGTGGGATATTCCTGGTTTTTGAAGGAGCTTTACAACTTTCCAACTTCCTAGACTGGAAGTCAGAACATTCCTGGTTTTACAGGTTTTTATGCACAAACCTGCCAGTCTGTGGGGACTAAGGAGTGCTGCAAAACCTCTCCTGTGTCAGCACAAGGAGCAGTTTGAGCCCTCCAACATCAGGCAAATTGTTCCACACCAGAACAATCCCCTCCAGACCAGGCTGAGCCCTGAGATGCTGCATAACAACAAAACAGGAAAATGTGCACGTCTGAAAAGGGAATTATCACTGTGGTATAATGACTGCTATGCCTCCCTGGAAAATGCAACATGGTGTGGGACTTTGTTCAAGCACTTTTTTTCCCAAGCTGCTATTGCCAGCTCCAAATGTTCAAGAACTACAGTTTGACCCTCAAAATCACAAGCCTGTCTGTGAAACGATAAATGTGGAGCTCTTTTACTGTGCTTTCTGGTTTTTGAGCTGTTAGGGTGCACCTGGGTCACACTTGCAAGCTTTATACTCTAACCATTAGGACTAGGAACTTACTTTAAATTAAAGAAAGAGGAAAACCGAGTTTCTAACCTCATTACACAACTGTAGTAGCTGGAGTTTAAGTGAAACATCAAACATCACAAGACTTGTGATAAAATCATGAGTGCTGACAACATCAATTTAGAGTAGGAGGTGGGATAGCAGGGGAAACTCAGGGCAAATGGATTTACTTTTTATCTTAATGTTTTTACAGGCTGTCTACTTTTATCTTTAATCAGAAGTTTTCAGTGGCAGTTCTTTCTTCCTGTATCTGTGCATGACATTAAAAGGTCACTTCTGCATTAATACCTGATGCCATTTGCCAACTGCATCTCTCCATCAGAGATTACATGAAAAGGCAGGTGTACTGATGGTACACCTGGTGCTAATATCACAGCAAAGAGGAATTATGGAAGTCCAGGTCATGAGTGCATGGGTAAAAAAGGCATTGAGAGGGATTCTGGTCCCATGTGGGGGGTGTGTGTGAAGAATACAGGATGTTTCTCATGGCTCTGATATTTACTGCCTGAGCAGAGAATACTGTATGGAGAATTTGCCAGTAAAGCTCCACAAGCTTTGTGGAATGGATTGTTTTAAGGCACTGCATACTGGATTTTTTATGCCTGAAAATTACCTTAATGAAAAATAATATGAAAAGGTACAAAGGTAGGTATAGTTAAACCTTTCATTATAATAAATTGCCTGTAATTAAGCCAAGTAATTAACGGATCACTATGTTTATAGATCAACAGACTGGCCAGATCAAGAATTCAGGTCAGTCTTTTGTGATGCCAAAATGGCAGCAGTGACAAAGTGGTCAGCTGTCCCTCCACTATAAGAGGCAATTTCCAAACCATGCTTTTATTGTTTGAAATGCTCCAGTTTGAGGGAATTGTGCAGTCACCAGTCCTTCCAACCACATGCAAAGAGTTGTCAGTGGCAGGTTCCTTGGTCACCCTCCTGCTGCCTCTTGGTCTGACCTGTCACTGATCTGAGGGAGCCAGGGCAGCAGAGTGGCCATTCAGAACAGGGAATACTCCTGCTCTACCATCATAATCCTGGGATTTAAAGTAGGGAGCTAAGCCTGGTCCAAATGGTCAGTTTGCTTCAGCTGCTTAGCACAGCACCAGGGGTACAAGCAGAGTGCACAAATGAATTTCATGGTGACAAGCCAGAGGTTTTTATATGACATAATGCTGATATTATATATCTTCCACTCATGAAAGCTGCTCCAGATGCGTCTGGGTGGGACTGAGTTCTTTAGCTCAGGGGTGATTATGTTGCTAATTGGAAGGAGAGACACAGCCCCTGTGTGAATCAAGAGCAGGTGTTGAGGGTCTGTAGTGTGGCCCTTGTCACAGCAGAAGGGATCCAGCCCAGTGCTATCCCAGCAGGTATATAACAAAATCAGGATATTCCACTTATTCCCCCAAAAAACATCAGAAACTCAGAAAATTCAAGACAAGTACGCAAAATTAAAAAATCCTAATAACCTCAAGTTTGCTCTGATGTGATACATAACCACATGCAACTCACAAGCATGAGAGAATATCACAGTTCATAGTCTGAATTTGGGGGGAAAAAAAACTATTTTAGAAGAGAAATTACTTTCAAAAACATGTTTCAGTACATTTTTGTTCCAGGAACAAAAACAGTATTGCTACAGGAACAGGGTTTGACCTGTTCATTCTCATGCAGGTGATTTGGCATTTGGTCTGATTTGATAGATTTCATCTTGCTACAAAACTCAAGTACAGAGGTCAGAGAAGGAAATGCTTTGTCATCCCTGCCTGCTTTCGTGGGGCAGCATTGAGGTTTGCCTTCTGGATGTAAAATCTTACCACAGAGACAGAAAACAAGATTGGCTAACCACAATGACTTGACTCAAAGAATTAGCAGCTCTGACATAATGGAGGCATTCCTGAAAAATCTCAAGTCAGAGTTCTGCCCACTTTTGTGAATAAATAGCAATCAAAAAATCTAGGGCAATAAAACTCCATAGGCATCTCAGAATTTTATTTCAGCCAACATCAATCTTCCTTCTCTTCAGACAAGCTAAATTATACCGGTAAATCAGTGACATTAAATCAGTCAAACCAGCTGAATGCAAAAGCTGAGGGAACAGGCCAAATTTGAACTGTGTATACTGAGAGAAAGAAAACTGCTCATAAAGTTAAATCTTAAATAAACATGAACCCTTAGAGGGGGTACTCAGGGAAAAGAAAAGACTGCAGTCCAAAACTTCTGAGAGGCCTCTGAATAAATGTACAGGGGAGTGGGAAATGGACTTGGGTTTCTCTGTGCAGCTTATGGAGCCAGAGCTGTAGAGGAGCTAAATCAGACTTACCAAGAGGACAGGACTAGAGCCACAGCCTGGCAGGGCTCCACCAGGAGCACTCCCAGTCTGATGGATTCTGTAGCTGGCACTGCTGGAACGATGCTGTTGGAGGCGCAGGATCCAATCATCTGCACAAAGTAGGACACAGCACCTCTCCAGGGACTCCTGGATGTCACTGCAGTGGCTGAGGATGTGACATCCCTGCCTTTCCAGCCCAGCACCCTTCCCTTCCTGCAGGGACATCCCTGCCTTTCCAGCCCAGCACCCTTCCTGCAGGGACATCCCTGCCTCTCCAGCCCAGCACCCTTCCCTTCCTGCAGGGACATCCCTGCCTTTCCAGCCCAGCACCCTTCCCTTCCTGCAGGGACATCCCTGCCTCTCCAGCCCAGCATCCTTCCTGCAGGAACATCCCAGCCTTTCCAGCCCAGCACCCTTCCTGCAGGGACATCCCTGCCTTTCCAGCCCAGCACCCTTCCTGCAGGGACATCCCTGCCTTTCCAGCCCAGCACCCTTCCTTCAGGGACATCCCTGCCTTTCCAGCCCAGACCCTTCCTGCAGGGACATCCCAGCCTCTCCAGCCCAGCACCCTTCCTGCAGGGACATCCCTGCCTCTCCAGCTCAGCACCCTTCCTGCAGGGACATCCCTGCCTCTCCAGCCCAGCACCCTTCCTGCAGGAACATCCCTGCCTCTCCAGCCCAGCACCCTTCCTGCAGGGACATCCCTGCCTTTCCAGCTCAGCACCCTTCCTGCAGGGATATCCCTGCCTTTCCAGCCCAGCACCCTTGCACCCTTCCTGCAGGGACATCCCTGCCTTTCCAGCTCAGCACCCTTCCTGCAGGGACATCCCTGCCTTTCCAGCCCAGCACCCTTCCCTTCCTGCAGGGACATCCCTGCCTTTCCAGCCCAGCACCCTTCCTGCAGGGATGGAGATGGGGGCGTGCTGGCTGCCAAGTCACTGCTGTGGCAGTGAAACCTCCCTGTTGGTTTAGGCTGATTTGTGTGGAAGATACAGGACCAGGAGCTGCTGAGCTCCAGGGCAGAGTGTGTTTGGTTCTGCTGATCATACAAGAGGGAAAACTCAGTAATGGAACCTCCATTGGCTGAGATACTCATGGAAATGCTGACCACACTGTGCAGGGTCGTGCCTCAAAGCCTGTGAGACTCCAGAGCTACAGGCTCTCTTTACACCAAGGCTAAGGACTTGTCTTACATCACCCACATCTCTCCCACAGCTCCCAAATCACACAGGACACGGGGTTTGAATGCTCCAACACAACATTCTTCAAGTTTGCCACATCTGTAGGAACAGGATGGCTCACTGCTTTGTAGGTGCCCTGGAACAACCTTTATTCAGAGCAAATGTTGGAGAAACTCTAATGAAAGAACACCCATGCAACATGCAGACAGCAGAAACCAGTAAGAAAATCCTGATTTTCTCCTCCTGTACTGCAGATCAGCTCCAGGATGCATTTTGCTGTTCCATCCAGTGAGGCAGCTGTGGCTGGGATCTGCCATCCCCATACAATGATTTTGAGTGAGGTTTTCTCAAGGAGTGCCCAGAGATGGAAAACTGAACTTGCCTTAAAGCAGAGCTTACAACAGATCTCCCTCTGCTCTACTCCTATTGAGCAAGGGACATCTGAACTTGTGTGCAGAAAGCAGCTGCAAAACAAGGCAGAAAGGGGCTAAGAATGACTTGAGATTACTCATCACTTGGGATTCCTTTGATTTCCTCTCACAATATGAAACAGTAGAGGTGGAGCAGGTCTAGTAGATCAGTGAATGCATCTTACTTGAAGAACAGGATTAATATCTTCCCACAGCCATCCACAATGAAGAATTCTTCAGTTGCCAAAATAATTCTGTGCTGAACAGAGGAATCCACAGGTGGGAAGCAGTTCTCAGTGAATTTGCTTTCTGGGTACTTAATAACTGCACATATTCAACAGCATCATTCTCTGAAACAAACAAGAGCATTTTTTCTGTGGTGCCCTCCTGCCTGTTGGCCAAAGGGATCAGAATTCCCAGTTTTGTTCCTAAAGGCTGGATCCACACTACCAACTGGTGGGTTGATCCTTGCCAAGACATTTTTAGAGGAATTATAAAAATCCCTCATACAGAGGGGAATTATATGCAGTACTTAGGCAAAACAGGCATTCCATTTATAAATATAATTACTTCTGCTATTCTATCAAGAAAAAGAATGTAGTAGTGAGGGATACAACAGAGAAAATTATTTATGTGTTGACACTTGACAATATAAATAGAAAACAGATCTGGCTGGAACTAAGTGGGAAATGAAAAAAACATGAGAAAATATGTAACTGAGATTACCAGTTGGAGGGATAATTTATGACCATTCCTAGTGCATTCTTTCCAATGAAAGTGCAGTCCCTCATTTTGCTTTATGTTTGGACTGTAATTATGTGTGCACTTAATTAGCAACAAATGCATGAGCTTACTTTGTGTTTTTTGGCAAATTATCTTCTTTTGACTGATGCCCTGAACGCTACAAAGCAGGCACTGGTTTGCTGTGCAAAGGAGGGAACAGAAGATGGCTTGGACATAGTCCCTGTGCTTTAGGGAGCTGGAGCACAGGTTGGAAAAGAAAGGAGAGTGCCATTCACACTGACAAGCAGTGACTGGATGAAATATTAGGGATGAAATATTAGGGATCACACCTTAGGGATGATTCTGCCCCCATCTCTTGTGTTCATGCTCCTTTTACTCAGGCTGCTTGTCTGGGTATGTCCATTACTGCACGTCTTCTGCTTTAGATTTGGGAAGAGTATTTTTCTCCAGCATCTTCATTCTTAATATTAGTGATTTATCACATATGGTGCACTATATTTTTACAAAGCTGTAAGATACCATGGTGATTAACACCATATGAGAACCTAAATAGAAGGGAACAGGATAACAGAAATGTCCTCCCAGCAGACACAGGGCTTTAGCTTGTTTTTAGAGACAGTATCTCAGCTGCATGATTTTACTCTGTACATAAAAATTCTAGGAGTAACATAATAGAAAACTGTACTTTCCTTGACAATGTTGCAGAGAGAACAAAAAACCTCATGTTTAATTTCCCTCTAGCCTTTAACTAGGATTTTCAGATCAATTTGGAGAGATTGATTATTCTAACCCTTTTGATCATACAGATTTATTACTTTGATTTAAGAAGGCAGGAGAAAAAAAATGTAAGAACCACAATTATTACCCCTTGTGTTTATACATGTACATAGATGAATTCTGGTAGGAATTTCTGGTAGGAGAACATCCCAGCTTCACACAAACTTGTCCTGCCAATATTGTAGTCCCCACACAAAATCTATGCACTGAATCGACATGGTAATGAGAAACTAATCACATTTTACTTACCCAAACAAACACTGTGAAAGCTTGGAGACACTAAAGGCTGCTTGAAATGAACACATCAGTGCTGAGCACCACACAGCCCTGCTTTCCAAACAGCTCTGTCCTCACCCACCTGGATTAGGGCTGCCACTGGGAGAGCCTTCCCCCCGCACCGCTGGATCCAAAGCAAGGACTTTACTGGAGTGTGGCAGCCAGCAAAACAAGGGAAATTGTCTCTGGGCATGGGATAAACCAGAAAGACAGCCTGGGGATGCTGGAAAGTGTCAGGGTGAATCCCCTGTGCTACAAACGTGCTGGACATGAACTTTGGGCTCCCATGGCAGACAGGCAAAAGCGTGGGGGAGCCAGAGGTGGCTGCAGGCTGGGCATCCCTGGGTGTGCTTGATCCTCCAGGGCCAAGGCTGGCTGATCCTCCAGGAGTGCCAGGAGGGCTGCAAGGAGCATGGGGAGATGAGCATGAGCAGCTCCACATGCATCTTCCCCCCGAGCAGCACAGCACAGGTTAAATTAAAAAATGCACTGGGGAAAAGGTTGTTTCTCCAAAACTGGTCACTAGCAGCCAGGCCCCCAGGGATGCTCTCCTTGCCTAAGGATGAAATGGGATTATGATGGTAATGTTTGCTGTACTGTAATTAAGGTGGTGTCAGGACTTTCATTAAAAAGTGTGTTTTTGTTGAGGGACTACAGCTTGGAGAAAATTTTTGCTTGAGGCTGAAATATTACATGGTTCTCAGCCTGAAAACACTGCACAACCTTTATTATATATGTAATTTAGATCTTTAGTCTTGGCTGTGAAGGCTCTGCTATTGTTTTCATAGGGGTACATAGCTAATTGGTTTAAAAAATTAGATATTAAAGAACTGAAGGACTGAATTCTGTTCTGGAACCCATGTATGGGACAGGTCCCCATTAACTGCCTGCAATTGACTCCAAAAACCAAAGGCCAAATGCTGCCCTTCCTACTCAGACACACGATGTTATTGAAGTAAACAGCTGGAAACAGGATTGGGCACCTGTGTCCAGGTATTTACCTCACTGCAACCCAAGGCCTCTCCCAAACTGTAACAACTCTACTGAACGTGGGGCAGAGATTATTTCCTTGCAACTGATCTATGGCAAGCTTATTTCCAGAAACAGAATTTAAATTCCTATGATAACAGTATCATAGCACCCAGGATCTCAGAGAAGGAACCACGACCCCTGTGCACGAGGTTCTGTGCAAAACACAGAATAAAAACCCAATATATGATTGCACACCAACAAATCCTTTCCCCCATTTCACGGCCAGGTTTGTATTATTTCTGTTAAGTAATCTGAGTGTAACACACCACTCCTGCAAACAGCAAACACTGCTCAGACATTTATTTAACTTTCTGCATGATAAAGTCCCAACTTCACAGCAATCTATTGTCTTTCCCCAGAGGTGCACACAAAGGGGTCAGCTACTGCCCGGGGTTCTTGCTGCTGGCTCTGGGGTTTTTCCATTTATCTGCACTGTTTGGCACGTACAACCTTCAGGTACTAATTTGATTTTCCTCAAACTATTAGCATTCTACCTTTGTGGATTAAAACTCCCATGCAATTAATAGTATGTCACAAAATATAATTTCTCTGCTGCCCACCACCACATAGATAAATAAAAGAATACTAAAGTTTATAAAATTACAGTTTCATAAATGCGTAAACCAGACAGGAATTCACAAAGAATGGAACAGAAGTTCCTAAGTAACTTGTAGATATTTATGTGACTTCACAGGGATGCTAAAAAAATACATAGCACAGTTCATTGTTTCTTCTAAGAAAAAGTTATATAAATTGCAAGTTTGGGAAGAATTTAAGCATTTCTGAAAATGTTTCAAGACAGAACAAACTTTAATCAGGAGGTAGTTGTCTTCAGTGAACCTATTTATGCATCTAGTTACTTATCTGCCTAATTTAGCATCCCCAGGATCATGGCCTCAGTTTGGAATAACTTAATGAATTTCAGTAGAGTGCCTCAGCTACCACTTGTAAAAATAGGATGATTCAAATGCAAATAAGTGCAAACATGTGCAAAATTAACATTCTTAATAGACAAAGCTTCTCCATATAGGAAGGTATTATTCATGCTACTACCAGAGGTAGGCAAGCATAATTCCTCATGTGGACAAACTCACTCCGAGTACCTTTTCTTGATTTCACTTAAATAAATTAAAGAAATTGGACTTAATCTAAAAAAAAGAAGAAAAAAAAAAGCCAGAAGATGCCAGGATGAGTGAGTCTGCAGGAGGGTTATACTACAACCACTGGTTTTAAATTCACACTCTGGCGTGCACAAAAAGAACATTTTTTTATGAAGATAAAAGCCTCCACGTGTAATAACTCGATATATAGACAAGCCCTAGGGGCTTGCATCTTGAGCACTTAACATTTTTGGCCTCATCTTAATGGATAAAAAAGGTGTGTTTCTCAGTCACATTAGCCCAGTCAAAGGAGCTTAATATGATGAAAAGGCTTTAGGGTTTGGTGAGGCTGAGGTGTAAAGGTGGGAGGCAGCACATCCATCACAGCCTGGGCACTGCTGCCTTCAGCACACTCTGAGCTGGGCAGGGGCAGCAGGGATGGGAACAGGGATGGGGAACAGGCAGGGATGGGGAACAGGCAGGGATGGGGAGCTCACAGGGAGGGGGAGCAAGGAAGGATGGGGAGCAGGCAGGGATGGGGAACAGGAGGGATGGGGAGCAAGCAGGGATGGGGAGCAGGGAAGGATGGGAACTGACAGGGATGGGGAAAGGCAGGGAAGGGGAGCAGGGAGGGATGGGGAGCTCACATGGATGGGAAACAGGGAGGGATGGGGGGCAGGGACGGATGGGAAACAGGCATGGTTGGTGAGCAGGTGGGGATGGGGAGCAGGGAAGGATGGGGAACAGGCAGGGATGGGAAGCTCACAGCTCACAGGGAGGGGGAACAGGCAGGGATAGGGAGCAGACAGGGATGGGGAGCAGACAGGGATAGGGACAAGGCAGGGATAGGGAGCCTGGCCTGTGTCAGCCCCACATTCCTACAAACTCTGGATCTGTTTGTGTGGGGTGCAGCTGTCCAACAGAAATCAGGATATTTCAGGAGGGGAGCAGGTGAGAAAACATCAACTAGAATGAAATGTTTTTTCCTCGAGGGCTGTGAATGCCCCCAAAGAGAGCAGTTAGATGGATTCTAGGCAAACTGGACCTCCACACTATGTGCACTGCTCCAGAGCCTCCGGTAATTCTGGGATTCTCCAGCTGTCTGGGAATGCAGCTCAGGATGAGAAGTGAGGCTTTTCTCCCACCATGGCAGCAAAAAGCCTCTCCCAAACTGCTGGGAAAGTCCCCAGTGCTCAAGGCAGGGTGTGTGTGTGTCATAGCCACTGCCCAGGCTGGGCTGCTGCCTGAAGTAAGGCAGATCCACGAGATGACAAGTAAGCAAAACTGATGAAAAGAAGAAACAAACATTTCAAGTTTAAAACTAGGCTTCCACAACACATTGGTTAGCATACGACAATTAGCATATGCTAACATTTTTTGTAGCCCAGCCAAGTTTAGTACAAATTAACCAGAAGTCACGTATTTGTATGATGTAATCCTGATTTTGTCACTTGATTTAGGCTTTGTCTAGAAGTCTTTTAAATTATCTCAGTCTTGGTTTTTTATTACTGAAGAAAAAAATCCAGTAATTTGGCTATTTCTGGATTGCCTGGGTGAATATAAATGTAGATATAAAACAAATATCACAGGCAGCTGATGTGGTTGCTGCACTCAGCTGCCCCTGCACCTTCATCCTGAAGTTTGCTACAAGGAGAACCATATGGGATGTGCAGCAGCACCAAACTGTCTGCAGTTTTCAGAGCAGCACACTGAAGTAAGCAGATGTTGAACACAGTCAATTATCAGTTTAGCACAGGGTAAGACAAAATGGTTCAATATACTGAACATTTGAAATGTTAGCATGATGCTGATGTAGCTTAAATGCAGCTTTTGTGATAACTTGGACATTTCTGCAATGGGAACACAAATGCAAAGAAAACAAAAATTAAACTTTTCTTTGGTTCATGTAGAGTGATGGATGATCATTAAACTGGCAGAGCTCTGAATAAATGTCATAAACCAGAAAGTACCTCGATCCCATTCCTGATATAATCCAGAATAATTTTCTTATTATTTATGTTCCATACACCACTTTAGTTGTATAAAGACAAAATTGTATTTACATTCCAGTTGTCATTTTCCTTTAATTGTAACAGAATAATTTTCCTTAACTAGCTGATTTGAGGCAACATCCTGTCTTCAGCTTCTTCTGTTATGAAAGTATTTGTTATTAAGCACATTGGGACAATTTAGGATGTTTTGAAGTTAAAACCACTAGCATGCATTGTTTAATCAGAACTGCAAGGATCTCACTTACATTTCAGAAACAATTCCAAAACTACAGAAAAATTTATTTTAAGGAAGGCTAGAATGTAAAATTCTAGTTGAAAGCTTCAACACTGCCTGCCCATGAAAGTTTAAAAAAACCAGGTGTGTCAGCTCACCTGAGTTAGTTTACAATGAACTAGAGGATCTCTTAACATTCAGTAAAGCAGACAACCTGTTCATTCAATATTATACATTTGCTCCAAAAGCGTGTGTTTTCCAGACAGCGAAAATTTATAATAGGCGGTTAGTGTGGCCAAGGTATAAACGTAAAAATTTTCCTGACAGAACTGTTCAAATATCCTGAATCAACAAAGCACTCCCACACTGGATTTATGTGTGGTGACACGTCTCCCAGCTCGTCCCTCTGCCTGCTCCCAGTGACAGATAACGCCAGCAAATAGAGTTTGCTACAATTCCATCTCCACCTCAGGTTCCTGCTCTCCAGCCTCTCTCAGTCCTGCTCAGCTCTTCACACCTTTGATTGCCACAGCAGTGGCTGCAGCCCTTCACAGCACAGACCTGCCCAGCTGTGTTTGGACACGTAAGGAGATAAGGCACAGCAGCAGAACTCACGGGCTAAGTCCCTAATTCTCTCCTGTGCTAGACCACACTACACCAGTGTTGACTTAGTCCTGCCTCCACTCCTGTTTTATATTGTGGTAGATACATATACACATAATTTATGTATTAACAAAGGCAAAAAGAGAAAAAAATTTGAATTACACATTTTTGTATAAGACACACATCCCAAAGCTCAACCACTGGCAGGTCATCTAAAGGTACTAGAAACGTTTCCATGGGGGGACTGGATGAACAACACAGGGACAAGTAAACCCAGAGATTCCTGGGGTCTGCCAGGGGATGTGGCAGCCATTCCCCACACACCAAGCAGTTGATGAGGGCCCACGGTGTGCTCACATGTCACAGCTCCAATCAATTTGCACACGCAGAGTGGCTCTGACACATCGGAGGCTCACCCAGGCCGTGGCGCATGTGCTCTGGGTCTGCTCGCGCACAGCCAGCCTGTCAGGAGATGGCCATTTGTTTCAGTAGGCCAGATGGCAACCTGGCAACTCCAGCAAATGCCACACCAGCCATCCCACTGGGCAGAGGCAGTGGCCTTTTCCTTCCCTCTCCCTGCCCTTTTTCTCTCTACTCCACCCAAGCCTGGGCCTGTATAGCATTAAATGTTTTCAGTTAAATTACGCTCACTTGCCTGAGTTAACAAAATTCAAAGGCACTTTATTCTGTCAGACAACATGTAAACACATTAAGAGCCCGTATCTGAAACTGTATGAGCAGTATACCCATGCTGTCATTTACAGACTTCATAACACAAACATTTTACTCAGGGTGTATTTTTTTATTTGGCATAAATGAGTACATCTTCAGTGGTAGGGCCAAGAAAGCCATACCAACAATCCAGCTGCTCTCCTTGCATGGTTGAACAATGGGGATGGCTCCATATAATTTTATATGTATGTAAGTGGAGACAAATGCATTACTTCCTAATGTATTTCATACATTATATGAAAATGTCACAAAGGTCTATTTAATTACTCACAAACCTAGAAAAGGAATCAACAAAGGTTTTGTTATGAAAAGGTTCTGAACAAAACAGGCCAGCAAAAGTCCTATTTGCCACAGCATACCATTTAATTTTGTATTCTGACGCTGACAAGTGAAAAATTGGGGAAGGAAAAGCAGCGTAAAGCTCTGAATTGCTTTGTGTTTATTTTTACTTTAAAAAAATAGCGACTAACATCAGCCCCTCCTTCCCTCTTTGTACCTGTGTGATACCCCAGGCCATTTTGTCAACTGGGATTCAAACAGAAACCCGAAGGCCACGGGTGACACGCTCCGTGCGGGGCTCCCGAGATGTGTTTAGTCGCACCCTTGGGGCTATCGCTCCCCACCACGTCTGCAAGTCCGGCGAAGTTCCCGAACCCGCCCGCCAAGCGCGAGTCACCGCGCCGCTCCTCTGTCCGTGCGCGCCGGTTCGTGATTCAGCATCCGCGCCCCGAACCCGCTCCCTCCGCTCCGGCCCCGGGAGGGAAGGAGGGAGGGAAGGAGGGAGAGCCGGCCGGGCTGGGGCCCCGCGGGGGCGGCTCAGGGGTGCCCTTGGGGCGGTGCCCGGCGCGGGGGCCCCGGGCCGGCGGCCGCGCTCCGCTGGAGCCGCTCCCGCCGCGGGCAGCGGAGCGCGTCGGGGCAGCGCCCGGGAGGAAAGTCCGGGGGCGCGGCCGCTTCCTCGCCCCGTGGCCGGACTTTTCTCCGGCTGCGAGGCCGCGGCGCTCCCCCGCCTCCCCTCGGAGCCCGAGTCCCCGCTGGCCTCCGGGACACGTTAAATCCCGTGTAATGAGGCTTAACCCCGCCCCGCAGCCGGGCGGGCAGGCAGCCAGCCAGCCGGGCCCCTGCCCGGGGAGCCCCCCCCGCCCCGAGCGCCCGCAGCTGTTCCAGCCGGAGCTGCTGGAAAGCGGCCACGCTCCCCAGACTTTGTCTCCCTCGCACACAGCGCTGAACTCTGCTCCCTCCCTCCTTCCCATCCCCCGGGGCGCCCGCGGCTCCCCCCGCCTCCACCGCCCCGAGCCGCAGACGCGCGGCGGGGGAAGGGGGAGCGCTCCCGCCGCCGGGCTCCGGCCGCCTCCCCGGGGGCTGCGCGGGGCTCGGGGGGAGCGAGCGCCGCCGGGGCGGGCACCGAGCGCTGCCCCCGGAGCCGCGTCCTGCGGAGCGCAGCCCGTGTGCGGAGAGCGGCCGCTCGCATCCAGAAGGGGCTTTTCCTTTTCCACGGGGAAATAAATGAAAAGAAATAACAAGGGCGGGGAGAGGGTGGGGGAGCGCTGGGGCAGCGGCCGGGGCGCGGTGCGGGGTGGGGTGCGCGGAGCTCCCCGTGGCGCCGCGTCCCGTCCGGGCCCCGCTCCGCGGTTTCCCCGCAGCCCGGCGCGGCCCCAGCCCAGCCCCTGAGGTCGGCGAGGCGGCGGATGGGTGTCTGCGCCGGGGGACGGGCGGTGGGCGGGCGGGGCAGGCGCAGTGTGGGGCCGCGGCAGGGGAGGAGGAGGAGGGCGGTCGGTCGCTGTGTCTATGTGTCGCACTGGCGGGGGGGAAGGGAGTCGGGGAGGCGGGGGTTACACACCAGGGCAGCGCCGGGATCCCTTCTCCACCCCGCGGGGAGGGGGCAGGGCACCGCCTCCTCCTCCCCCTTCCTCCTCCCCCTTTTTCACCCTTCCTCCTCCTTCTTTCCCCAAAGTTAAACTTCCTGCTCCCGGCCCGGCTGGGAAGGGGACGCGGAGCCCGGCCGGACTCAGCCCCTCGACACACACAACAGCTGGAGCTGTCAAAACTTCCTCCGCTCGGCCTCGGCCCCCGCCGCCTCCGCCGCCGCCGCCCGCTCCTCCTCCGCCCCCGGGGGCTCTGCGCGGGGGGAGGGCGCAGGGCCAGGGTACAATGAAGCGGCGGCCGCCGCAGCCGGGCAGCGCAGCAGCCGGAGCCGCCGCCAGCGCCCGGGGCCTCTGAGCGGGGGCGCCCAGCGGCGGGACCAGCCGCGTCTCTGTCGCTCGCTCTCTTCACCTCCCCCAGCCCCGAGAGACCCCGCCGAGCCCGGGGAGGGTGTTATTGTGTGTGAGACCCTTCCTTCCGTCCTCTGCGCTTTCTCTTCGCCCCCCCTCCCCTCCTCCTCCTGCTCTCCCCATGCTGCTCCCCCTGCTACCTGTGCTGGTCGGCGGCGGCTGAGGCCAGCGATGCGAGGCGGAGGTGGAGGAGGCGGAGGTGAGGAGGAGAGGAGCCGCGGGAGCAGGAGGAGCATCGGGATCCCCATCACCATCCTCATCTTCATCCTCATCATCATCATCCATGTGTCTCTCTCGTCCTGCTGACTAGGATGTCAACGGAGGACAAGAGTCTGGTGGTGGCGGTGGTGGAGCCGCCTCAGCAGCAGCAGCAGCCCCCCGAGCCTGGAGCTCCCCCCCCAGCAGCAGCAGCAGCAGCCACAGACAAAAGACCTAGGGGCCGGCCTCGCAAAGATGGCGCTTCCCCTTTCCAGAGAGCCAGAAAGAAGTAAGTTCAGCGTTTGTGTGTGCGAGGCAGAGAGGGGCCGGGGCAGGCGGCCAGGCGCAGGCAGAGCTGTCAGTGGAGACTCGCTACTCGTCGCCCCCTCCCTCTGCCTAATGCCATTTTGAGAAGGGCCCTTCTTTCTTCTCCTCCTCTCCCCTTTGCACTTTCCCCTCCTCCTCCTCCTTTTTCACCTTTGTCTTCCTCCGCCTGCTCTCCCTTTTCCACTTTTCTTTCACCATCCCTATTCCTTTCTTCCCCTCCTTCTCCGGAGTTTCTCTTTAGCTCTTCCCCCTCCACCCTCTTCCTCCTTTTTCCCTCGCCTTTGCACCTTCCCCCTTCTTTTTGGGTCCGTTCCCTTCCAGGACGCTCGGCTGCCTTCAGCGTCGCCTGGGTACTCCCTGTGCGCTGACGGTAGTTCCTCGTCGCTTTCCCTTGTCATGCCCCCCCCTTCCCCTCCTCTTTTTTGGGAAGGAAAACACGGTTCTCAGCGGGTGGCGGCGAGGACACCCCCGCACCCCCCGCGCACACGCAGAGTTGAGGCAGGAGTTTCTCGGCGGCGCGGGGGGAGCTGTCAGCGGCCGCCGCACGGAGGGACGCGCCGGCGGGACGGTGCCGAAGCACAACAAACACACGGAGGGAGGGGGCGGAGGATGGCGGGGGGAGCCCGTTCCCAGCCGCTGGCAGCTCTCCCTTGGCCGCGGCCTCTCCCCGCCGGGGGCGCGGGCGCTCGCCCGCCTCAGCCCCCCCCGCGCCCCGCCGGGCGCTCCTCAGGGGCCGCTCCGCTCCCGCAGCCTCGGGCGGGGATCCCGCCGGGCCGGGCCGGGCCGGGCCGGGCCGGGCAGCGCTGCCCGCAGAGGGAGCGGGGGTGGCCGCGCTGCCCGGGGTGCGGGGCCGGGCTGCGCTCGGGGAGAGGCCCCGGGAAGCGCCGCTGCCGCGCTGGCTCCGCTCCCCGCGGGTTATTTTTGAGTAGGATGGAGCTTGCCATGGCATAGCTGATGGCAGCGGTAATAGGGCAAAGCTGGGCGGCACGTTCGGCCAAGGAACGTCAGGAGGTGACCAAAGCGGCTCCTGCGCTGTGCGGTCTGTCCCAGCCTCGGGGTTCAGAGGTTGTTCCCTTTGTTTTGGGGGACGCGCTCGGTTTTGTCACTGCCGTGTTTGTCCTGGCGAGGTCCTGGCGCTTCCCTGAACGCCCACCCCAAACATCGCTGCCGATTTCCGTGCCGGAATCATTTCTGTTGGAAAAGACTTTTAAGGTCAAGCCCGACCATAAGGTCACAGTGGAAGTCCACAACATGACGAGGGATTCTGCTGGGCTGGACCTAACTACATGCGACGACCATGCATCTTTTATATGCGTTTGCTTTTACAAATACATAAGTGTCCCAGGAGAGAGCTATCGTTAGTTTGGGATACACGATTTTTTTGTTGTTGTTGTCATTGATGAAAGTTTGCCTGCCAAGATTTTCATGTCCCCTCTGGTTTTGGGGAAGGTGTGTTGTTTACAGCTCCCTCTTTTCATTATCTTTTGTATTTTCCTGATAGAATTTTTAATATAGCGGTCGTTGAAAGTAGTTGGCAAACGTACACGTGGTGAAGTTCTTGCATTCATCTCCTTTATGCTTACTTTTACATACTTAGGTTTTATTTTTACTTACAGAATCCAAACATTACATAGGGAACCTTTGAATGTTTTATTTTGAAGGAATTTTTTCTGAAGAAAAATGCAAATGCAACTGTAATGTACCAGTCTGCACAAAAAACCTAAATTGTGTTACGTGTGAAAATTGACATATCTTGTTAGGCCAGTTTGAGGTTGTGTATGCACTCTTGAGGAGAAAAAGTGTGTGTTAAAGAGGTAATTCCTTGCCTTCAGTTAGGTTTTTGGTGCCATGGGAATGTTGCTGGCTAGGTTTAGGAAGAAGTAAAATATTCCTGTAAAATATGAGCTTATGCTGATGTGATTATAAGTGTCTGTGTGAAAGTGGGAAATTAAATTAGCTGAGACAAAAATTAAAATGAATCAATACTCTTTTTGTTCACACTCTGATTGTTCCTGGCTGGTGTGGTGCTCCCTGTTCTGCTGCAAACATCTTTCTGCAAATCCTGTACTTTTGGTAAAGGCATTATGCCATAGGTCATAAATGCTTTTGAAGCTAGGGTTTTATAAAAAAAATGTTATTTTCTGACCTGTGCCAGCATAGGTGTAGGCTGGTGGTTTGTAGTTGCATCCATTTTGGGAAGAGAATGGTTTTATTTTCTAAGTTTTCCTATGTATAAAATACAGATTACAACTAGCCTAGCAAATACAGAAATGAGACAACTACAACTATTTTCTATTTTTTCCTTCAGAGTGCTTGGTCCTATCTTCCTTTTCACTTCTGTGCTTTCCAGTTGGATTAATGTGCCTCATGTAAACCAGATAAAAGAGCATATGTCAGACCATTTTCTGTACTGTAATCACATGTCTAAATCACTATTAGCCAGTCAAATTGTTCAACTGCTTTATCCCATTATAGGAAATGTTCCACTGAATGTTCAGTCTAAGTGCAGTCTAAGTAATGATAAAACGAAGAGCCCTGCATTAAACTGGCAAAGCCAGAATAGAATAATTCCTCAGCTATGGATGCCTCCATTAAACAGCAGTGCCATATTGGAGAGTGCTTTAGGTTGGTACTTTACCTTCTTTGAAGGCCATGTTTTTAAGCAAATTTGATGAGTTTAAGCAGACAGATGGAAAACTGCCTTGAATCTGCTCCTGTGAGATGCCAGGGATTCTCAGCTCTTCCAGGAGCAGGCTGATGTTAAGGGAGCAGAGGGTTCTTCAGTAGGACAGTGCTTGCCCACATCTCATTCTGCATTTTGCCTGGTTATCAATAAAAACTCCAGTGGTGCTGTGGACACAGATAAGAACAGGGAACAGTGGAGGCTTCCTGTGGGTGAAGAACTGGGAATCAGTGTCATCAGTACCTGGAGAGAGGTACAGATGGTGGAATGTGGCTGCTAGAACAGCCTTTTATCATTGTTTGAAGGATGTAGCTTCATGTGGCACTGGCAGGAGAGTTAATCTTAGGTGAACAGTTCATTTTTATTATTTATATTGTAATTGTGCCTAGAGGCCAGGGTACCATTACACTACACGCAGTACAAATGCATAAGCAAAGGTTGTTCCTGCACAAACAATTTCTTAATTTAAATGTAAAGATAAGGCAGCATGTAAATGTAAGAAATGTATTGGGAAAGCACAAGGGAGCTGTGAGAATGCTGTGAGCAAAAGAACATGCAGAAGTTCAAGTGCCCTGGCTATCTCAGCATCGGGGAGTGATTCACAGGCATCCAACTTGGAGGATATATTTAAAGCAGGGTAGCATTGTCACCCTGAGGATTTTCACAGAAAGCTGCTTTCCTGCCTGAACTGCCAGGCCAACACTCCTGTTTTCTTCCTTACATTTTGACAAGGGGATATCTGTACAGAGCAGCAATTCAAATTTAAGAGGTGGAGCAAGAACAGGCCATGCAGGGCCTTGAAATTTAGAGCAAGGAGGTTGTTCATGCTATGGTGCATCAGGAAGAATACAGAGAACTGAAATCAAAGCAGTGAATGAAGGAAATATTTTTGTAGGATTGCCTTTCTGCCTTAAAAGGTAGAAAGGCCGAATTTATACAAGTTGAAAAAAGATAATAAAGTTGCATTACTAAAGCTGGAACGTGGTGGACAAGAAAGAAGCTTTCAGATGCATGGTTAAAAGAACTCTTACTAGGATTGTAGAGGAAAAATGGAAATTAGGTGCCACCTCTCTGCAGGGCCTGAAATCTTGGGAACTTAACTCTTGCTTGGATTATACCTCAAGTTCCAGGGTAGGGACCTGAAGGATAGGAATGTGGTTGGAAAGAAGTTGTAGAGGAAGAGTTTCGTTTTGACTGTGTATGAACAACTGGTTGTTCATCAAAATGTATTACAATAGTATTGTACAGGGGCAGTAAACATTTTTGTAATAAATTTTAAGTAGCAGGGCTTTCTTAATCTCTGCAGGTTACAAGCAGCACAAACAGATGCAGCTCCTTAGCAAAATTTAGTAGCAGAAGTCTCATTGATTGTGACCCTTTATAGATCAGTGCTAAGCTCACTTTAAACTTTATTTTCAGCATCTATCAGATCTTGATGTATGCTACCAGTTATTTTTGCAAACATCTTTAGTTTAAAGCAGAATATAATAATGCTTTCAAAACTGGGGAGAACATTTTGTGTGTCTTTTTTAATTACCCATGTTTTCATTTCCATAGTAGTTTTTCATTACTTTGGCCAATGTAAGCTGCAGAAGGTTTTCAAAGGCTATTGATTTCACATATGCAGATGGGTTAAGGTCTGAGGACCCTTAAGCATAAGTGTTTTTGCCAGGAAATGATTATTTGAGATTTTTGATCATCACTTTAGTTGCATTTGCATTAGGGTAGGCCAATATTTAAAGATACCTACAGTCATTTCAAAAGAAGCTTAAAGTGTTGGATGGAGCTTTATAGCTCAGCTGTGTTTCTTTAGTTCATCACACACCTTCTGTGTGATACTTGTGTCTTTACTTGCCTGCCCTTTTCTCAATTCAAAATTTAACATTTGCAAATGTAAGATGTATGTTGTGTTGTAGAATAAAAATGTTCCTAAACAAGAGCACAGTCAGGGGAGGTCATCCCTACCTGGCAAGACAGAGGTTTTTTGATGGACAAGCTTTGTACAACTATTGCACAGCGAAGGGTTAATGTATTAATGCAAACACTGGCCTCTACAAGCCACGTGTATCAAACTGCTTGGCCAAAAGCCAGAAAGCACATAGTGGAACACAGAGTGAGGAGGAGATGAGGTGTGAGGATTGAAGTTGGCTCTTTGCAGAACAGGGCTGAGCTTTGTGCCATTTTCTTCAGCAGCCCATGTTCTGTGACTTCCTCCACCGTATTTGAATTACCAAGCAATTCCCCAACTGCTTTATGGATTTTTTTGCACAGGAGCCTGGCTCACAGTGCTCAGGAGATGAATGATATCTGTACAAATGTTCAGATTTTTCAGTTCTTGATAATTGCTTGTGTGATGGATAGGGTTTATAGAATTGTTTTACCACAAAATTATTAAAATACAGATTTATGTAGGGTCTTTACTCGTGTCTTAAGGGTGAGTGAAGTTAAGCTGAATGCTGGAAATAGATGCACAGTTTCCCCAGTTTGAAACAGGCTTGCTGTGAAGGACTCTTGGAGACTTTTTTTTTTTTAACATTTCAGTTGTTAGTTTCTCTATGTTTGTATTTAATGATCCACTGAACTTCTGTAGCACTTGTCATGAGAGGACTTCCAAGAGCTGTCAGACAGATCAAGTGTGATGGCTGGCTGAAATCTCAGCATATTCGTCACCACCAATGTCTTGCCCAGTCTCTTGGTTGCTACTCTGAGCCATCTACACACCAGACATCTCTTCATCCTGTGTGCAGTGACACTGGAGACTTTTCCCAGCTTAAAACAATAAAAACAGTTCCATTTTCTTGGCTTTGCTTGTGGATTTTTTTTTTTCTTGTTAGCATGTTAACTCCTACTAACTTCTTGTCATTGTTCTTTCATAAGATAAGTAATTGGAAATGGACATTTCTATTCTTTGTCATCATTTCAGCTCAGAGATGGTTTTCCAAGGCAGTTGGCTTGCTGAGAATAGGTGAACTCTGCCTTTCTCA